AGTTATCAAGCGCGATGAAAAATGATAAATTTAAGAAAACAACTTTTAAAAAATTTTGGGTTTGATGGTAGGGTTTGAGGTTGGTTTGAGGGTTTGATGATAAAAGTGTGAAAATGCTGGGTTATTAAACAATGTTAGGGGTGGATAACCTACTTAGGGATATGAAAGATAGATAGTGACGCCTACTGAATATGCATATAAAATTTTATTAAAATCAGTTCAGCCGTTTCGGAGAGGTATGGTAATTGATACTGTGACATTAGAATATATATAAGATATCGCTTATTGTATATACATTAAAATTAAGGAATAATTAAACACTATAACAGTATATGAAAGTGATAAGGATAGTTATTTTTAAGATAAATGGAATCCCCGATATGAGGAAAAGTGCATTACTATGTATTGACTATTGTCCCTATATATAATTTATAGACCAAGAGCTGTTGAAGTCTAATCAAAAAGTATTATGAATAACATGACAATGTATATTAAATCAAAGTTTAATACTGCTTGAAAGATTATAATTTCATATATCAAAATGTATTTAAGAATGAACAATTTTCATGACATGGGCGGAACACCAAGCAACGAACTTTGAACGTACTACACGAGCAACCGTGTCCTGCTCATCGGATTTGTTTCAGTCAATTTAAGTATACGCAATGTAACTTCAACTTCAAAACGTATGTGTTATAAATTGGGCATAGTAGAAAAGATAATACGAAATTAGGCAGCACATCTTCATTAAGAATATTCTAACTATCAACTAACTTTGTACGGTTCTTTACTAAAAGTAAGTATATGTTAAAAAGAAGATACAACGTTAACGACAAATGTCTGTCCATTTTTTTTTCAAAAGCCAATGGCATCCTCGACATTAACTCTCGAGGTTCCCCTAGTAATTATTAATTGGATGACACGTTTTGGGAGTTATATGATATAAAAGAAAATGGTAATTTTGAAAATGGAAAATTTTAATTTTAATACTACATACAGCATTTGTTTTACGTCAGTAATATTACTGATCAAGTCAACATTGATACGCTATTCCTTGCGAACTTGAAACCGTTAGGGGAAGTACCAGTATCTAGTAATTACCGTCGGACAATTCAATAAAATTCTAGTATAATATACAGAAAATTATATTTTATTACCGACATCATTGCGCAGACGATTACCACTGCCTTGACACGGAACCGTAACCTCAACAATTATGATTTTGAAAGCCCTATTTTATAAATATTTTGAGGTCTCTTAGCAACTCTGTGTGTGTTTTTGCAAGCAATAACGTCACGCGTGGACAATCATGTAGCGATTAAGCTACTGCTAAATTTATTTATTCAGAATATCTATAAAAGACCAGTTCTATTTAGTTAATAGTTTAAAACCAACTTCACGATTGTAAGGGGTTTTTTTCTTTAAAGTGTCTGCAACTAATTGTCTTTATTTCAATCTTTAATCGGTTACTAGTCTAACTCTTTGACTATAATGTCAATCCGTTAATTAAATGACTATTGAATGATTATGAGATTGTGTCGTCATTTATTGAATTTTAATTAACAAGTACCTTGGTAACACAGCCTGTACCGTACCTAGGTATATAAATCTAGCATTCTGAATTACTCTTTTGTTAACAATAAAGATTTTATTAAAGATTTGTTTTTAAAAATCTAAAATATCCATTAAAAAGAGCGTCAAATGAAGTTGTTATTTTTAAAATTAAGTAGGTTAGGGGTATATACTACATACACTTAGTAATTTATGAAGTAGGTTAAAGAAATATAAATTCGGATTTTTAGCTACATTTTACACTTAATATATTTTAAATGTCCTATCACTTACGGCACTTGTGTATGCTGTCATACTACAAACAACGTGACTCAGTTGAGAAAATAAGCGAGAAAAAAATAAAATCAAACATTACCCATGCAACCGTGCCATCGCTAATCATAGAATAAACTCAAAAAATGCTTAAAAAGGTTAAAAAAACTCACCAAAGTTTGCGTACGGATATCCTACCCGCAAACAGAGCCTCGATAACCTTATTTGAACTACGCCGACACAAAAAAGCCAATTATTCTCATTACGGACATCCACGCGCGGTGACGTCTGAACGATAACTAACTCGCGAGGCGGCGCCTGCGACGATTGAAGTTTGAAAATCGAACTACACGCCTTCACTCACACATGAGCACACACTATAATACCAGTAACGAAACCTTCATGAAAATGCAACGCGCCTGCCGAACAAAGGTGCGATAATATCGGCTGTCAAAGTTCAGAACGTCCTTAACGATCAATAATCATGACAAAATTAATGAAAGCCAGTTTATTTTTTACACGGTAGCTCTGTAGACAAAAAGGACGAAATTGTGACGAATTGCGTTCCATTTATATTCTGTGCAAAGATTGACGGATAACTAAGCTTGAATAGTTTTAAGAAATTGTTAACTTTCAAATATCACATATTATTAAGTAACACATTAGGCGATATTAGAATCGCTTCTTTAATTAAAATTAAAGAAAAAATGTCTATTTAATCTATAACAATTTATAATTCCGAAATTACATAATTTGAACTTGACCAAGATTTCCTAACTATGTAAATGAGGGGAACTGCGAATACTATGAATAAATATAATAATGTTTCAAATTATTAAATAGTAGGTACATAATGGCAGTTAGTTTTAAAGTACGGTATAGATTCGTTTGATGCAAAATTTTTAAACTGTAACCTTAAATGACTAAGAAAATGACAAAACAATTAACAAGGGTGAATAAAACTATGTTTTAACCGTGACCCCAAAGTTTTCTCCCAAAAAAAGTTCGATTATATTACGCATATTAATATCGAAGGACAGGATGCGTTAGCGCATTATAAATGTAAATATAAGGATCGCTGATCTTTGAACCGGGTTTATTGTTAATTTAAACTTTAACTATCATTTTATGTTTGCTTAAACTGTGCGGTGATTATTAAATCATGCAAATGAGGGAGTATTTGAAAAAAAAAACGGATTGGACGTTCGAGCCCTCTAAGTGAGGCATACGAGTAAGGGCGGCGCATTTTAGTATTTTTAACAGTAACACGATAATTGATAACTAAAGCCATGATAATGTATATGTAAGAAAACTACTTATCTAACAATTTAGATACTAAAGACCTATTTATTATCAACGGAAACAATTCTCCTCGTTTGCATAGGATTCAAGGCAGTGAGCTTTTCTTGTGCCAGAAGATAGTAAAATTTACTAGAAAAGTTGGTTTAAATAAAACATTTTAACGGTTTAAAACGCGATATATCTTAATTAAACTTGTTTAAAAATTATTTTAACTACCACCGACGTTTCGGATGCTTTGCACCAGCCGTGGTGGACTACGTATAACTAATATACCTATATCGTATAACCGTTAAAGTGTTTTATTTAAATGTGTACTACTCGCGTAAATTACAGACAAAAGTTAGTAACTGGAATTATCAAGTATCAGAAACGAAAAGTAGATTTGAAAAGTGTAATTTTTTTATACAGTTATATGTACGTACCACAAATCCGATCAGAAGCACGACTAAACAAAGCTTTATTGAGCTTATCTGTGGCTTTTATATTCTTTCTTATCTTCGATATACGCGATCAATACAATTATCTATAACGGTTCTGTGGCCAATCAGGATACGGTCGCATCCAAGCTCTAATTTTCATTTATTAAAAAAAGAGGCTTAAAAGGTGTGACACATCTTTTCCATACTCCTCAATCATCTTGTCAAAATTCATGTTATGAGATTTAGAAGGGCTCGTTGAACTCGGAGTAGGCTATAAAAAATCATATACGCCCCAAATAACTACTCTAGGCGGACGAAATCGCGGCCATAGCTTATAAAAGCTCCCATTTCCAAAAACAATATTGTTTAACTAACTAAGTACGATTATGTTTAACACTGGCAGGTAAACTTCCCCCCTAATTAGACGTTTTTTAACAACACCGGTAAAACATAAACGTTAACTGTTTCCTGGTGTTCGGAGAGTTTTTTTCCCTATTAACTAATGCCTTATTTAGTTTTATATATTTTGAAAACAAAACATAATCATCTATTTTCGTTGATAGAGCTTTCGTAGTTTGGCGTAATATTTGCTTACAAAATAATAATTTACCAGTACGTTTTATAACTATTTATTACATATGTGTGGCTGTGCCAGCGACTCGGTTCGCGTAAAATAATTGTTTTGGGCAGGGACAATGTCTTTTTTTTGCAATTCTACTTGCCATCTTTATAACTTAGCCACGAAATGTGTCTTCGTCCCGTCGTTCTTGCAAGTTAATCTTAAAAGGTAGACATATAACATCGCGGAGGTGTTTGTATTTGCCTCTTCGATAAATGCTCTAACTAACACAAAAATAATTTTTCTATTCGAACAAGTACCTAGTTCCTGAGATTAGCGCGTTCAAACAACTAAACTCGTCAGTTTTATATATTAATATGTAATAGCTTATAAGAGCAATACATCTAGTTCCTGATTCGAGTCCTGGATTAAGCTAAAACTAAAACATCATGACCGCCTCTGAGCCAAATGGTTAACCGTATTGCCTAGCACATGCGTATAAACGCGAGAGGTCCTGGGTTCGAACCCAGGGAAACCAAAAATGTTCGGTCAAAAACTAGAGACTGATTATATTTTCTACCGTTTCTTAAATCAAGAGCGTAGAACGAACGACAGGAATTGTCAATAAACTCGCTGCCACCCTTTTTATATCCAAGTTTTATTTTAGGAACTTCACGAACTGTAAGTGTAGCGAGTTCCTCCTTAGCATTTTTATCGTTTAAATGTAGAATTACGCCATAACAACCCTCTCTCACATACGATTTATACTTATATATTGACAGTGCTTGCACGTCACTGTGGAAAGTAATTATTTTCAAGGGGTCAACTTTTTTTATTTATAATTTTTTTGTGGAACAGTATCAATTATCCTCGTAGAAATATTTTAATTAACTTACCTCAGATTGCAGGGTGGCCTGAAGTTCCTCATTTAGCTTCTTAAGATCAGCAATCTGAAAACCGACAATGGATACGTCATTATGTGGACAATAATTGTTTTTAGCTCTAAACCAGGATTAAACGGAATTAAACAGCTAATATTCTTGTCGTATGCACAGATATTTTATGAAAAGCTAATATTTTCTGTAAAATAAAATATACTTTATTCTCTTTAAAATTTAAAACATTATTTAGATTATAATGTTTGTCTGTCTATTTGTCGCGATTCTACAGAGTGGAAAAGAGCAACATCACTGACGCGACTACTAACAAGTTAATTTTTTTAACTGTTTAATACGTGTTAACGTTTCGGATGCTTTACAGCCCTGCCCTGCTCACGAGATCAAAGAATTTAACTAATGATATATACTAAAACGTTAAAATACTATTATATTTGAAGCATTTTTTAACTACAAAGTTTACAATTTCTGAACACAAAACCTACCAATGTAGGTAGATTTTGTGTTCTGGCATACAAAATGTATTAGTATGTTCTATATTTTGGCGTGAAAGAGTAACAAACAACCAGTTATCCAAATTCACGTAGGTAACAGGCGAAAACAGGAAATCATATTGATTTAAATTATAATGAAATATAGAATAACCATAGATAAGATTTGCAAACGAAAGTAAGGGTAAATCAATGACGATTTTGTTATAACTTTATTTGATGATATTCCCCTTATCTATCAGACATCTGTCAAGTAATGATTGCTATACGTCATTGGACAGTGGACACAAAAAATTAATGTATGAAATGTTTAAACTTATTCAAAGAAAATAGCATACACAATGACTTATAATTTATATAATATGACGAATATTTCATACGGTTTCTGCGATGTATTTTTAGAATATATAAATATTAAGTAGGTATATAATACTCTACTGACTGTTGGTAGTAATAGTGAATACCTATTCACTATAACTACATAGTATAAAACAAAGTCTCTTTTTCTGCCCTCATGTAAGTACGTTTATATCTTTAAAACCACGCAACGATTTTGATATGTTTTTTTAATGAATAGGGTGATTTAAGGGGAAGGGTTTTATATACAACATTCATAGATTTTCCGTAGTGTGCCTATTTAGTATCAGCACTGCACCGGAGCGAAGCCGAGGCGGGTCGCTAGTGTAACTACATACATATATGAAAAATAGAACCCTTGTATACTAACTATATAATTAATGATTAAACACAACAATGGAATATGTACATAAATTCAGTTTTTTAAACACGAAAAAAAAATCAATTTTCATATCGGCTTGACACCCGTTTTAAATTAAATGTTCCCATTATTTGATAACTTTATCTATTAATTGAAGTACTTGGAAAATGGCGGATAAATTTTCGAAAACCGGTTTCATGAAAAAGAACATTGTCATCGACAATTTATAAAAAGTGTCGACCAATAGCACGTGAGGATTTTGAATTTTAAATTTGGAATGTAAATGCGAGCAGCCAATAGGTCAGAGTGGAATGTATTCGCATTGTAAGTGGTTTGTGTGTATGTAGTGTAAGTTTTTAAATAGGGATGCCAAAATTCACTAAATGAAATTATATTTCCCCAATTAATACATTTTTAAATTCCTCTTATTCGCGTATTTTTGTTCATGATAGAGGACAGACAATCATAGGGTAATATACCACTTGATGAAAGGTAATATACCCCAGCCTATAGCATATAAACAAGATGGGCTGTCGACCTTTTTTGGCTTTGGATAGTCGGAAATCCTCAAACTGGAACCGAAACTCGATTAACCTCCGCGGCTTTTTATATGTGGACGGAGGCTCGTGATTTGGACGGTTCTATATTCCTACCACCCATTTAATATCCAAATTTCAAGTAAGTCCATTTCAGAAAAAATTTAGATTCACGAGACCCGTTGATTATTAGCCGTACGCTGCTAACATTCGACCAACGAGCCCTTTCTTTATTAACAAAATATCTTACAAACACGTCCTTTACAGAAGTAAGCGTTAAACCATCGTAATTCACAAAAATACATCGTTGATACGCTTATACCTAAATGGTTTGAGTCTTGTGTTTGTTTAATTATAAGTAACTAGCATTGCTCTATCCTTTAATTCGTACCATACTATATAACTATAAAGATTCAGCGTGTCTGGTGAAAAGATTAGAATTTTTGGCGGAAATAAAAGACTAGAGATTATATGTTAAACAGCGGGTACAGCCCTAATATTCGGAGGTACTTTTGTGACGCTCTTCCTGTGCAATCCGGGCAAACGTATTGATTATCTTAAAAAGTTGCGATATATGGCATGTCCAGGATACATACATTACTAGCTACTAAATATATAATTGCTTTCGTTGAGTTTCAGGAATAAAGCTTTAAAAATAACTATTTCTAACTTTATGTAATATATATATGTATAGCTGGCAAGGCAAAGCTCGCTTATCTTTGATAAGGTGTTCAAACAAGATAGTATTCTGCTATCTACCCCACGCTAACGGACTTATTATAAATGCATTCAGGCGTACCACAGTATGCATTCGAGCAGTCGCTCAAAATTCGTTAAATTATTATTATTTAATAATAGAAGGGCGTTTACATTTCTAACCAATTGCTAGCAATGTTTTGTTATTTTTTTCCCTTTAATTGAAAGGTTTAATTTTCTAAGAGTACCTAATAAGAAAAAAAAAAGATTGAGAGATTTTGGTAATCTCTTATAATATTATTTAAAACTACATTAAGTAAATATGTAGGTAGTTCAAATTAGCTCTATTGATCAACAAAAGATCTGATTCTGACATAGGCTTTATCTAAAAATACTATAAATCTGACATCAATTGGAAAATATAACCTTATATTTTAAATAAATATTTCTATTAGAATAACTTTGATATTTTCTTTTTACAACAATTACAAGGTAAGTATTATTCAAAGATGACTTTTTAATTATCAAATATATAAATGTTGGCTTAGAAACCTCATTAAAATTAGAACATGAAAATGATATAGAAAGAATTACCATACAAACCGGTTAAACAAGTAAATTATATAAATAATTAACTCTTTATAAAATTTATTGTATTGCAATTAGTTGTTATCAGTTGAAGTAAGAACGCTACTTCTTCTTTATTTCTATGGTTAAAAGTATTGCCTATGGCACTATACGTTTTGTGTTCACACCTTGTGAAACACATTATATTGACAGGGCACAGAATTCTAATCATCCCCTAGCATATAAATAAAAGGTATCATATAGGTAGCATACAAAGTTAAATGGGATTTCACTCCACTAAATAGCTATAGTATAATTCTCTGCAATTACTAAATATGCTCCGAAATGAGCAAATTCCATATTAAACTGTTTAAGCGACCAATACTGATTATAAGGAATCTAATGTACTAGAAGGTAGGGCACAGACTTAAGACTAAAGGCCACTTGGCAAATCATGAACTATTGGTCGCCAGAAGTATAGTGATTAAAGTCAATAAAAATTGATAATGATGTATTAAAATTTAAAAGTAATGTGTTAATTTGAGTATTACTATTGCTGTCGGCAGGTCAGTATTTGATGCTATGAGAGTGGACTGTGTATCTCTGAGATATAAAGCATTACAATATTATCTACTATCACAATAGAATGAAGATATTCTTTTAGGGATTGAAATCATAGCAGCTGTTAATATTCTTTATTCATGTTGTTCTTACAACTAACAATAGATTTTCATAAATTATCTTTTCTTTAGGAAGGACAGATGAGCATGGCGTTCGCTTGAGGGAAGATGAAATAACTTAGCCATATAACATTAAAATAGGCTGCACTTAACCTTTTTGCCTTTAAATATTTATAAATGAAAGAACATTTTGTTAGTAATATGATCATAAATAATTTATTATGGAATTTTGAAGGAAAATTAATTATAAATGAAATGAAACATAATTTTAATAGTGTAGTAGAAGGTAAACATAAACGATTGGTATAGGACTAGATGAGAAATAGTGGAAAAATTAAGTTAAATTTATGGTCTATTAATTTAAATACACATTATAAGTGTAGTAAAGAAAAATGTTATGACAAAATTACAACAACATAACCTTCAAGTCAGCTGTCAACAAGATAATATATAGTGCATTAAAAGTCTCAAAAAATCTAGTTTACAAACCTCGAGCTCTTGATTATGACATTTCGTCTCTAGTTCGTCTGTTAAAGCAACATTTTCAGAAGTTACGTCTTCATTTATCGGCGCTACAGCTTCAGTTAACACTTCTGAAGCAAAATTTGTGATCTGTCCTTTGATACTGCTTAAACTTTGATTCAAATTAAGCCACGACATTTTACACAATAGTTTCTAAACACATATATACCAAAAGAGTCTATGTCACAGATTTTTTGCGTAAAAAAACTTGTAAACAATAAATAAATTGCATTTTGCAAATGACAATACAATGTCCAGTTGGCAAAACAAGTTTTTATAAAAATAATAACAGACATTGACAGACTACCATAAGCTATTTTGATGGATGTCAGCTGATTTTGATTAACCCACGATTTGTCATAAAGTATTTTTTTCTTATTTGACTGAAATGGTAAACAAATAATCTACACTAATATATAAAGTTTAAGAGTTTGTTTGTTTGTTTGAACGCGCTAATCTAGGAACCATAGATTTGAATTGAATTTTTTTTTGTGTTGGTTACAGCATTTATTGAGGAAAGCTATAGGCTATAAAACTTCGGCCTGTGACTAATACAAGCGAAGATACAGCAAGAAATGTATATAAAATTGGGAAAATTGTTCATCAATATGGGTGTCCGAGACGTACGCTGCAAAAAACGGTTCAAGATAACCCAAAAAATCTAAAACAAAGTCCACGACGCTATAATATTATGTCGATCTTATTTAACAGATTAATTAGCAAGAGAGACGGAAAGGGACGCCACCGATGTGGGTAACAGCTCAAGTTTATAATTATAATGGGGTTTGCAAAAACGAATTTGGATACCTAAAATAGCCCAACTCGTTATAAAATATAACACGAACTATCATGGATTTCTTTTCTATCTATAGTTAATTAAGGATTAAACAAATCCCAACACTCACTTATTTTCCCTTTTTAATTTAAATTTAGGAAGATATATTTTTTTATACTTTTTCCATATACGACAAAATGTACTATGAGTGTTGAACCGTTATTGAATTCAAATGACAATAAAATCAAATTATTATAAATATCTCATGAAATAAAAATAGCCTATCGAAGCACAGATGCTAAGACTTATCCTATTAATATTTATTACTTAGTCTGTGGAAAACCCATGGAATACTTGACATTGACATTAACATTTACATCATTGAAATATAATTTTAATGTTCGTGATGTTTTGTGAATAATTTGGTATGTTCCAATGTGCTTTTGTATTGAAGGGTATGTACTTTTATTGCGAGCTAATCCATATCATTTTTATTTTATTCTTGTTTTAGTACAAATCAAAAAGAATTTCTGTCGATACGTTTACATAAATTCGACTTTAGTATAAAGTATGGAGACAGATTCTGCCAAGGAAGTAAAAACTTACTCCCGTATTTCGAGAATAAGCGAGGTAGATTGGATGCCAAAATTAAACTTATCAGATACTTTGTCATCTCGAGAAGCATTACAATTTCTTCTCAACGGGACACTGAGATTACGTGTGTGCAGATATTGTTTAAATATTACTAATAATCTATGTGAACTTGATGAAGTACTAGTTTTGGCGGGAAAAAGCGGTCTTTATGAAGTCACAATCAAAGATATAATTGGTAGTTTTCATCCAATTAAGGTAAGAAACAACATTTACTGATGTATAATTTATTTGTTGTACCTACATTAATGATGCAGAAATAATTATTAAGCCAATTTAATCTCCTTTCAGGTTATTTATGACGAAAATTACCCAAATAAAATATGCACTAGTTGCTTTGAAAACGCATTGCAGTGCTATCTTTTTACTCAGCGTTGTGAGCAAGCAGAAAGGGCATTTAACAATTTCTTTGAAGACATAAATGAAAAATTCAATAAACTTGATCCAATGGAACCAGTAAAGAAAAGAGGAAAACCAAAACTCAAACCAAATCATAATATTTTATATACTGAGCACAGAAATGTAATTGATTATGCTGAACCAATCATTAACTTGATCCATTTAAATACCTTATCAACAAACAATGACAGCAATAATTTAGAATGCCCTAAATGTTGGCAAGTACTTCCAAACCAAATGTCACTAGTAAACCATGAGAAAGCTCATCCTCAAACTATGTGGTACCATTGTAAGGAATGTGGGAAAGCTTTTGTTAAATATACACAACTGAAGAGACACATGCGTCTAGGTCATGAAGATATTCAGAACACCGAGTGTTACATGTTTACATGCAAACAGTGCGGATGTAGAAATCATTCGCTCAATGAACATTTATTGCATATTGAAAAACATAGATTTACAAGCGCTCTTAAAGACTTGGTAATGAAACCTGAAGGCAATTGTGATATATGTTTCAATAAAGATGTTACAGTAAATTTAAATGAGAGTATGCACTTTCAAGGTATGGGCAAGGGGTTGGTTGGGGAGAAGACTATACACACAATTGCATCAACTATATTTCCTGATGTAAGTATTACTCTAAACATTTACTTCATTCTTATAATGGGTAGATTAAGACTAGTGCAATATTTTGCAATTATTTTGAATGAAATTAGGTAGTTTATTATGCCTTTAAGGTTGATTGGTAATTTTTACAACTTCCCACATCTAAAATTTCCCAATGTTGTACCTGTTAGGTCTATTGAAGCCATCTCATTCTGTTGTCTTGCTCCTTAGATATAAATATTGGTGTATGATTTAGGGTTACTCCCTAAACTTACTTGGTATATATTTTTTTAGCGATCATACAAATACCAAGAACTATTAATTCCATTACAAGCTCCAATCTTATGTCCTTTGAAGCGCAAAAAAGAAGTTTTTATAGGACTCAATAAGAAAATAAAAAATACAACAGAACAGAGACTTAGAAAAATTAATAAAGAAAATAGACACTTTGTCTTTTCAGTGCCAGAAAAAGTGCACTTGCTAACCTATGAAAATGTTAGAAACTCTATATATGAAAAGGAACCTAATGCAAATAATTATTTTGTTAATATTAGCATTACACCACATCAGCCAAAAAATACTGAAATTGGTACTGAAATCATGTCTTTGAATAACAGTAATCAAATATCACCAAATCAAATAGATCAAATAGACAATTCCAAACAAGAGACACTGATTAATAAAAAGAGAAGATTTTGAAAGAGAATCATTTGCAAACAAATGTTGGATATTTAAAAGCCTACTTGTTCCACATAAATATTTAAAACTGCGTTACAATAAAAAGTCTAACACAATAAATATGAAAGTTATAATGCTATTAGTGAAAGACTTCAAGAAGTAACTCCCATATTTTAAATGGAATTTGATTATTAAAAAATAAAAAAAATATTTATACATAGTATAGGAAGAAACAAAATCTACAGAAACTGATATATGGCAATGCAAAATATGTCTTACTAACAATATCAAGCGGGCTACTTGTATTTGCTGTGAAGAGAATAGGTTTCTCACTAGTAACATAAAAGTAAGCTTTAAAAATGGAAATACATTTTTATGTTCCAAAACTAGTGATGAATGTAGTCCTTCAGCTCCTATTACTATAACTTGTATTGAAAATCTATCATTGCTCAATAATATTCTATATAAAAATAAATGTGATTCATCTACTACATTGATAATAGATGAGAAGTGCCAAAAAAAAAGTGAATCTTTGCCAAAAATTGATGATAATATAAACAAAAATACTGGTTACCACGTAAACAATGGAAGTCAAAATTTAAGTCCAGATAAGACTAGTAAGGAACTACCCATTTTCAATCCTGGAAATGCCTACTTGAATCAAGAAGAAACTCTAATGGATACTGAAACTCAATCCAATGTAGAAGTTATGGATTTTGAGGAAGGAAACAATATTCCAGAGAAAAGAAATATTACACAGAATAGTACTGTTGACTATATTCCCACACATGCACAAATCGGTATCACACCCAATGCTGAATGGCAAGCTCCCATAAACAATAGAATGATGTTTAGTATTGGGACTGCGCAAGCCGAAAGAAAACGTAAAAAACCAACGCGAAGGAGTTCCACTTTTATTAAATAGTAACTTTGTACATAATAAAGTTCTATAATTTAAACTTTTATTAGAACCGAATTTATGTTAAAGCAATTAAATTATTGATGAATTTGATTATCAACCGCTAGGTCTAACTCCATTTCGCATTACAATTCTATTAAACTGAATAACATAGGTACTGTTGTGTAATACTATAAAACAACACATTTTATTCTGCTTTTTATTTTTTATTTAAACACCTTATTTTTTTGTTGCAGATCACACTTCCCTTAGTTCCTGGCAATAAAATTTGCAAAACCTGTCTTGATAAACTCTTAATTTCATATATATTTATATTAAGTGTTAGAAATATTAGATATAGGCTGGATAAATGTATCACAACAATGGTAGATAGTCTTGAAAATGTAGATGAGACTAAAAATGTTCTAATTGAAATATCGCAAAACATACTGTGCCCCGACATAGATGTGTCCACATCAAAAGATGGAGATAAAGAAGAATTCTTAGAAGATGAATTCAGAGTGCTAGACTCCAATAGTGACATTGATATGAAGAGTAATCACAGTGCTTTCACAGATGATATTATTATTGATAATCCTGCAAAAAATGTGACCAAGACGTATAGTAAGAAATTTCAATTTTCAACAGTTAATGGTTATCAACGAAATAACATAAATTCAGAATATTTAGGGGAATTCTTGAGATTTAAGAAGAAACAACAGTCCAAGTACACATGTCCTTTATGCAGTAAACACTTTATATCTGACTATTTTCTAAAGGAACATGTGATAAGACATATTTTTAGAATTTTAAAGTGTAAAATGTGTTCCAAGAGTTTTAAATCAAAATTTTATCTGAGAGAGCATGTGAAAACGGCCCACATATTGAATTTAGAAAAAGAATCTATTTGCGGCATATGCGGAAGATCTTTTGAGAATTCAGAGAATTTAAAAAAACATATGAAGACTCATTATGACAAAGAATGTCCCTTATGTAACAAATATTATAGAACACAGGTACATTTTGATATACATATGCAACGGCACATCATCAAATTCAATTTGAACCGGATCAACACTGAAACATGCAGTTTCTGTGAAAAAGCTTGTTCAAATGCCAATGAACTTTCTCTGCATATCAATAAAGTGCATTTACAAATGAAGCCTTACCACTGTGACATGTGTGAAAAACAATTTTATACTGAATATAACTTGAGCAGCCACAAAAAGTTACACAGCTTAAAATCCAAGGAGGAATGCAAGTTTTGTCATAAAAACTTTAAATGTAGGAAGACGTTGGTAGTTCATCTACGCAAGCATTTAAATATAAAACCGCATATCTGTCCTATCTGTACAAGATCATTTTATTCTGAGTCTGGTATGAAACTACACATGAAAAAGTCTCATGGAGGAAGATATTGCTGTAGAATATGTAAGCAGATCGTTGATAGCAGTTCTGACTTGAAAAATCATTTAACAACTGGTTGTGGGGTACAAAGTTATATGTAGCGCAATAGAAAAACATATTGAACATATAGATTTAAACTTTTATTTTTAAGAATAGGAAACTAGTTTTTTTTTCTATTATTTGGTGTTTTGTGTTATATTAAATCATTTAAAATAAACTGATTCAAACATGTGATATCACGTGCATCTTCATTGATGCTGAATCCATCGTGCCCTTGAGTTTTAATAGTTATGTAAAATTTCACAAACGTTTACGTTTGTTACTTTCTATTAAACATGAAATAGGGCTTGTTGTCAGTTTAGCTTGTACAGCGAAAATGCAATAAATATTTTCTTATAACATATGTCATTGATTATCATTTAAGAAATATTCTATTTATCATTTTATTAGTAACTTTATTGATTAATATCTCTTTGCTTTGAAAAGCTCATCAGTAACTAAATAGATTTTCAAATGATTCTGCTAGCAGTGAACGATTATGAGATGTACTAATATAAATTCGATTATAAAAATATCTCGATTAGAACGATTAGTAGTTACTAATACTGCTAAGTTATGGAACTACTAAAGTCATGGAACAACTGTCCAATTCATTATACACGATTAGTAGTACATCGATGAAACGATTAGTAATTATTAACTGTACAATGGATTATATACAAACATTAGTAATACAAAATAAATCGATCATGCCGATCATTCATAATCGCCATCTAGTTTCTGCCTTCTCTTGTTTATCTTGTCAGTTAAACCATCTTCCTAATTTTGGCTTCCTCATTTCTGAATGGATGAACGCATCCTACATTAGACGCAATACGGGAAGTAAAAAGCAACATTAATCCATTTATAATGCCAATGTCATTGCGACTTGTGGTTAAGTTGAAATGACCTAAGTTGGCTTAAAAGTCTTGTTACCAGGCCATAAAATATTATAAAAAAATTTAACTAACTTGTTGACTTTGTTTTGATCAGTTTTGAAATTTTGACTTACTTTTGTGTACAGTATTGTCCTAATATTAATATTTAAAACACTTGTAGGGATACACAAGTATTAATTTTATGAAAAGATAAAAAAACGATTTAAAGACTTCTACTAATTAAAAAGCAATTAAATCGAAATGTACTCATCCGTCCTCAACCGTCATCAAAATATTGTGTGGCTTTTATGTGATTTTTTTTTATTAACGCTTAATCAAACGTCTACAATGCCTAACATATTAGACCTCATACAGTTATTGATAGACCCAAATAAAAATGTATCAGTTTGCTTTATGTGTTTCAAACAAGGTAATACTGATGAGATGTTGAATGTTTATGAAGAGGACATATACATAGAGGGTTTACGAAGTCAACAACTTAGTTTAGTGGCACTTATGAAAGAAATTTTTCCAAAACAAGTAAGTATATAATCAATTTTTTGGAAGAATGTAGGTAAACCTAAAAGTTGTTCCTACGTACTAAAATATAAAGGTTTTGAGTTGAGATTTTTTAATAGTTAAACTATTATTATTTAAAGAGGTTTGTAAGAAGTTTTCTGAAGTAAATGTAAGATTTTGGGAGAAAAAAAAGATTCCCTAAAGTTAAATAAAAATATCATATCAATAATTCAGGCTATAAATTAATGTTCTTTGTTTTTACTTTCCAGGACATTATATTAGGCCAAGCTTGTCAAAAATGTGTAGACTTAGTATTAAATATTTATACTTATTTAAGAAGAAAAAAGCGTATTGAAGAACTTCTACACCTTATAGTTGACAATGTCAATAAAAAAATTAACAACCAAGTATTAACAAATGGTAAAATCTATATAGATTCTGTATATACTGAAAGGTCAGTTGATGAAAGTCGTGATAGAAAAATTAATTCTACTGATGATAAAGAGGCTGGGAATTTGGTAAATATAGAAATTGAAGAACTAACATGTCCTATTTGCTTTAAAGCACAGCAAGATTTAGCTAAACATTTAAAACAACACAAGCAGAGAATAAGAAAAGGATACTCTTGTAATACTTGTCCTTACACAACAAAATGTAAGACAACATTGGAAGGACACATTAATAGTAAACATCTGAATTGTAAACCATACATTTGTACTTGTTCTAAACGGTTTTATACCAAAAGCGCTCTAGCAGAACACAGCAAAACACACACTCATTTAAAGGATGTGATCTGCGAAATCTGTGGTGAAACATTTCATTACAAAAAAAGTCTTTATAATCACTTGAAGTTGCATTATAATGAAAAAAACATTTGAATGTCTAGTGTGTAATCAACGGTTTGTTAATAGAAGTCGGGTCAACGATCATATAAAACGCAAACACGGAGAAAAGAGAGAGGTTTGCCTTGCATGTGGTAAAAAATTTGTTTTGAAGAAGGAATTGGAAAGGCATATGAGCTTAGTGCATAAAGATAACATAGATAGTATTTTTGATTTTCAATATATGTTTAATGATGGTTTGTCTATTTAAAAAGTATATAAATCTGAAGTTTATCTTCTGATAAAGAATGGTGTGTGAATTATAATAAAATTAATGGAAATTAATTGACACTTCTTAATCTACCTATCTTTCTAAATAAATACTTGATGGTGATATATATTTGAAAGAAAAGAATTCTTTATGTGAAAAAATATATTTATTTAAAATATATACTTATGCATAAGTCTACATTGAATACTTATTTTAAACTTACATATACAAGGCAGTGTTGTTGAGTATTTTACATTTTAAGGTTCATCTGATTTATTTTTAATAAGTTTTTACTATAGATGACATTGTATTAAGTGTTTTGTCTTATATTACTGATGTTTTTTATTTATTTCACTAATGTACCTACGAATTTTATTTCGTCGGCTGTTTGAGTTAAACTATATTCTACTTCTACTGTTATTTTTTGTTATAAAACAATCATGTTACAAAGGTTGCATCTATTTTTCTTTGTACATGGAACCCAAAATTGTTTACCGGTATAGTTTACTAGGACAATATTTGTCCATTTACTTTTTAAATAGTTCTTATTTGTATTGGGCAAAATGGTAACTATAACAGTGGTGCTTAATACTACAAGAATATAGTATGTTAAATATATTTTTTTATCTTACGACATACTTAATTTGTTTATTACAATTTCGTTCTATTTTTAGATAGTTCTCTCTTGATTTTAAATACTTATTATAAACTTTGAAATCGATATTATTACAAATTTTCTGCTCAAAATCTGTTTAACACCAATTTTCTCACAGAGGAGAAATGTTCGTAATGCAGTCATATTTGGTAATATTACCTAAGCAATGCGTTTATGTACAGCGTTGTTGGTTTTTATTTATATTTTTAATACTGGTAACCGCCTCCTTGGCTCGCAGGTGCGTATGCTTGTCCGCCTGTTCGGATCCCATTTGGTTGATCAGGGTAGCTCGCTTCACCCTCGTAAGACACCTGTAACGTAGTGGCATTATGTTATAAATATTCTAACAATTTAACGAAGAATTTAAGAGACGCCCCAGAAAAATACATGTTGCTATCTACTTGAGTTACACCTTCCTACCCTCAACTTCATTAAGTAATACTAGTAACATTATTATATAACATAGCTATTAAATCCCGCCTCGTTAATGTTGTACTGATGCTGATACTAAATATCACGATGAAAGGAAATGAAAATGTTTTATGGCGACAAAAATATTACAAATCAAATAAGATCCATTTAAATAAAACGTCCGACGTGTCGGGTTAAGCTTCGGGGCGTAAGTTTAACTAAAATATATTGCGTTTTAATCCGTTAAAGTGTTTTATTTAAATTTGTACTACTCGCATAAATCACTGACAGTAACCAAATAAGATCCTAAAACTAGTTCTTAGGACTACAATATTGTAGCATTTTGGGCTTCTTTCTATTTATTTTGGCTTATACTTATTTAAAACAACCGAATCGTTTAGAAATTAATTTATCCAGACAACTGGTTATAATAATATAACCATTTATACCGTATTAAAGATTCTTCTATAAGGTCTTGGTAATATTACCAAAAACACAAACGTTGGGCAAGTTTTTGTAAAAAACATTACAATAAAACGCGAAATATATTTGTTAACTTTTTTTATTTACGCTAATAAAGTGTAAATAAAAAAGTATATATTTTTCGTTTTAAAACGTTAAAAATTGTTTTATATAACTGTCTTAGTATAAATATGATCGCCTCTGAAGGTAAAAGGTTCAACAGGTTGCCTAGCATTGCGTTATAGAGGTCCTGGTTTCAAATCCGTACAATGTATGCCATTGTTTTTCGGGCTGAACGATGGCCATGAAAGCGTTACACAATTTATAAGGAAGATCACTTACTTCAGCATTGAATCCATTCTTCCAGTCAGCCGTGTATTTCACGATTTGTGTACGACCATCGGGCAGCGCCACACGGTACTGTCCCCTTGTGACATCGCCGTCGGAAATCGCGTTGTGGCTGTAGTCGTTACCATCCTCGTTGACAGCGTATGCGAAGTCAAATGGCATACCGGGCTCATGATGGTGATGATGATCATGGTGGTCGTGGCCTTCGTGGTGGTGCTGTAATTAATTAGAAAAATATATAGCATATAAAAGTACAAAGATGAAATGTTTTTGTGGTATTCTACAAACAGAAGTAATAAAGACAAACAAACATGCATTTTAGTTATTAACCAAAAACTCTGGTATACATATATTAAATAAAACACTAACGGTTTAAAACGAGATGTATATAAGTGAAACTGGTCACGGCTGCTGTAAAGCATCCGAAACGTCGGAGCGTAGTTAAAATTATTTCCAAATAAGTTTAACTCATATATATCGCGTTTTAAACCGTTAAAGCGTTTTATTTAAATGTGTACTACTCGCGTCAACTACAGACAGTATTTTATTTTACATAAGCATACGTAATTAAAGAAGGAAGCGGGAAATTGTAGCTATCTAATCAAAGTTACAAGTCGTTGAAATAGCTTTTACGACGATGAAATAAACCTTTTTATTTTATTACATAGCTGAGTTGCATAAAACATAATGTTATAGTCAAATATAATTTTATTCGTTACCTTGTGGCTTGCACAATTTCTTATTGCAATGAAAAAAATGTTTTTTTAGTGTTCTAAAAATATGATTCTAGTGCAAGGTGTTTTATGTATAATTGTAAGTTTGTATTGTTTTACATCACATGAAATAATCCACTACATATTTCTAATTTGTCATTAGTTGTTTAATTGGTAAAAAATTTATTACCTACTAAATCCTAAATTACGACGCGATTGGTACATTATATTAGGCTATTTTTACCGGTTTAAAACGCTAAGTATACTGTTTAATTGATTTTTTGCAAAGACCCGACGTGTCTGATGTTTTTCGGCAGCGGTGGTTACGGACTAAAAATAGCGGTCGGCCTAATGTAAAATCAAGCTAGGGTAGCGCTATCTGTTTTTTAAATATAGGGCTTTTGAAAAGTGCCCGAAACGTCGGTTCATAGATTTAAATCAAATTATTAATGAGTTGTGCGTTTTTTACCTTGAAAAGGTGTATTATTTAATTAAATATATAGAGGTATATATCAATTTCAGATAATGGCTTCCATATTACCAATTGTTCGGACGAACAATGACATAGGTATGAATATCAGCTGGTACTAAAATTTATCACACAAAGATATTTAAAAAGAAACATATCCATTACAGACCCAGATTATGGTACGAACTTACGGAAATTACTTTTAATGAAATTAAATTAAAAATAATTCTTCTTCATTAATTTTGTTTGTATATATTCGTTTTAGATAAAAAAGTAAAACTGATGAATATAGGTAATTCTATTAGTTATAAATTGTTGTTCTCTGAGTGGAAAGGATAACTATGTCTTGTATTAGTGCAGTGTTTTGTTTTAATAAGTGTTTATTTTTTTATAATCTTTTTTTTTTTTTTTTTAATAGAATACGGTGAAATACTATCAAGTAAGATTTTATTTGAATTAATTTAAAAAAAAGGATATAATAAGATTAATATTTATTTTAGCCCTTACCTTTGACAATATATTGCGTTGTAATATCTTGTTAAATAAAATTATGAAACTTTTTTGAGAATTAAGTATTCTTAGGCATATGATAATGTCTGTACATTACCCGTATGTAAAGTAAGATCAATTACATTAGCTTCATAGTAGGGTGACATCTCCAAGTGTACTCTATTTGGTAATTATTAACCGACTTACAAAAAAGTAGCTAAAAGTACTTATTACTAAAAGCTTTTGTTTTTTCCCCATAATTTCGTCATTTATTATTTGATGATTTTTGGAAGATGTTTCAAAGTTGGCTTGTCAAACTCAGGATATGACACAGACTAGAGAAATCAGAGGGGAACATGTTTTATTGCTAAAAATATGTGTTTTAACAGTAAAAAAAATAATCGAGGGTATTATAACTTTGAAATACTTCGTGACATATTTCGTAGCTCCAAATTGAACTTATGTTGCAAAATATAAATTTAATGTCAAATTTCTATGAATATCCCATATACGTATAATATACTTTTTTACAATAATCGATTCCAGGCTTTGAAAATGGTGAGTGGAATTACAGGGAATTAAGGAAAACTTGTACATTGTCAAATAAGAAAAACTGTTTACTACCACTATCAGCTTTGTATCGCAATGTTTCTATTGGTACTCTATAGAAATTGTAGTTTTCTAATTAATCGTACATTCGAATTTAAATAAAACACTTCTACGGTTTAAACGCAATATTTGCAGCTTTTACTTCAAAGCATCCGAAACGTCGGGCTATAGTTAAAATAAGTATACATCTATAAAAGATATAAATCAAGTTTTAAACCGTTAAAGTGTTTTATTTAAATTTATAAGGTAGAATAAGTTGATATAAATAAATTCAAATGTCCTTTCAGGCGTTTTCGTTCCACGTATGTGTTTTGTTTTACGAGACAGACTGACGAATAAATAGGGAAATGGGACGCTCTATAATACTTAAGTAATTCGTTACTTCCAGTTCGCGCAAACAAAATGAAAATGACACACAGATTCAAAGGAAAACTAAACGAAGAGCCTACACCGAAACTTATTAGTACGAAATGCACTACAGACCGACCGATAAAACGTAAGAATTTTATATTTTTTAATTACAAGACGGAAAGGCAGGCCGCTGTTAAAATAATTTACGTACATCATATATTTTGCGTTCGAGCCCTTAAAAGTGTTTAGTTTAATCAGTAACTTAGGTCCAAAAGTCAATATCTATGACCTATATATAACTCGCACGATCTCGTCGATGTAACGGTAGCAATAATAATAAAGAATAATAAACAGTTATTGAGTTCAATTATCATTGGGCATAATATGAATCTAGTGAATTTATAATTTTTCCGAAAACGTTGGACTTCGTCTGATAATATGATTGTTATTTGTCCGGGTCTCGAACCACCGTCTAAAGATGAAAAGACTGTTAAATACTGTCCATAGTTTACGCGTGTAGTACACATTTAAATAAAACACTTTAACGGTTTAAAACGCGATATATTAGTTAAACTTGTTTGGAAATGATTTTTAACTTCGGCTCGACGTTTCGGATGTTTTGCAGCAGCCAGAGACATTTCAAATAAGTTTAACTAATATATCACGTTTTAAAACGTTAAAGTGTTTTAATTAAAAGAAAATACTGTATTTTTTCGCGTTTCGGTTAAGGTTTACTCTGTGCATTTCCGAATATCCAAAGATAAAATAGGTCGACAGCCTATCTTGTTTTAATTTTATATGGCTGGAAAACTATTTATAGGTGAAACACCTACTATCTAGTGACCTATAATATCCTTATTTGTCCTCCTAATTATTGAAGAAAAATAATTTGATTTTCCACTTTGCATTATATTAATTTACCTGTATTGGGTAAGTTTTAGATTGTAATAAGTGACTACTTTGATTGCAGTAGATGAAGAATTTTTACCTGGTAAGTATGCAATAAATATATATTTTTTGTGCAAAGGAATGAAAACAACGGTATTACGGTGAATGGTTTTAATACCTAGTAACCCAGGTTCGATTTCAGCTTTCGTAATGTCATAAATTGTTATTATTCTACAATAATCCTAAGTTTGAATCTTTCATATTTTTTTCTAGAGACGAACGAAGGTCAGTACGCATATATATTAAACGACTTTTTATGTTACATATTGTATTTTAAATGTAACTAAAATCTTACTAATTTTAGAACCGGCACCAGAACCACAAGATGAAAATGTCTTAGAAAATAAGGGAAGTGGAGGTGTGTTTGAAAATATTGGTATTTATTTTGCTCATTCCATCAATGTCCTGGGCGCAAAAATTGGTTTTTGCAAACCTCCTCCTCATCTTTATAAATCTCACCCACATGTCGTTGGCGCCTCGTCGTTATTCCAAATTAATCTTACCAGGTAGACATACTCGTACATATCATATATATATAAAAAACATAAAAAAAAATTACTATAGATTTAATACTTTAAATGTAACCTTTGCGTCTTTACCATTAATTTAGAACCGGCACCAGAACCACAAGATGAAAATGTCTTAGAAAATAAGGGAAGTGGAGGTGCGTTTTAAAATATTGTTAATCATTTTACATAATTTATAAAAGGAAAATATTATATGATACATTTTAAGTTTTAAATGAAAATCACACTTTCGTACCAATAATTTAGAAGCGGCACCAGAGGGACAAGACGGAAATGTCTTAGAAAATATTGAAAATGAAGGTACGTTTGAAAATATTACTATATCTTTGTTTCTTGTAAAAGTAAATTTATTAAACCACTATGTTAGATTGAATACTTGTAATGTAACCAATCATTTAGAACCGGCAGCAGAAGCAGAAGAAGAAAATGTCTTAGAAAATAATGAAAATGGCGGTGCGTTTAAAAACATTGTTATTCAATTTACATATTTTAGTAAAGACTATAAAAATATACATTCATAGTATTTTTTTAATTTGACGCAATTAACAACGACATAAACACTTATTGATTAATAAATCTTTTTTAGAAAATCCTGATGGAGCAATAGTGAATGTTGAATATGAAAATACAGCCCCGGGTAATTTTGACACTAAACCCGTTAATTAGTTACGTGAAGAGCTTTTTAATTTAATTGTATTTTTAGCCAATCAGAATGAATTGGAAGAAAACAATATAGAGGAACACACAGACGCCAAAATGGGACACTGTTAGTACCTACTTGTTTTTAAGACCTAAATTAAGATGTCACAAACCTTTTTTTAAACTATTCTTATTTTCAGTTGACACTAACGAGGAACAAGGAACTATTAACCAAAATGGTTGGTGTAAGAATATTTCATTGTGTATATTGTATTGTCTCTCCGTAACCATGGCTGCTGCAAAGCATCAGAAACGCCAAGTCGTACTTAGTTAAAATAAAAAATTATTGAACAATAATGTTTCGCGTTTTCAAACGACTATAAATATTTTATTTAAAAGTTAATATTGCATGTATTAAGTAAAGTGTGTATGATCGTGTAAACTGCACAAGTAGTGCACATTTTTTAAAAACACTTTCATCGGTTTAAAATGCGGAATTAAACATTTTGGAACAACGACCCAACTTTTCGTAAAACTAACAGCAGCCGTAGTCACGGCGGGATTCGGCTATCAACTTAGTATATTTTTTATTCCAACAGAGAAAAAAATGAAGAATTATTCGCCGCCAAATCCAATAAAAAGCCCCGATCATTATATTGATGATACATAAAATGGCTTAGGTGTTAAAAATTTGTTTTCTTTTTATCATACATCTTACTTTCTTTTTTAACTGGTGGTATGAATAATGCACCCACGTCGAGCAATAGTGATGTGGGGAGTGTGGTAAGTCGTACTACACCCTCCCCGGAGACAATAGTCTACCAGAACCACTAAACACACCACCAGCCCGCTATGGTCATTGAGAGGGAGCCCTGGGAGCGTTTGTACGACTCCAAAGCCTTACGCCGTTTTTCAATTTTTAATAGATTTTTAATTTATACAGTGCCATCATATGTGAAAAATATTAAATATTATTAGTTATTATATATTTTGGGTCTACAAGGAAATAAGTGGCATTATATATTACAAATACTTAAATTAATTTAAGTTTCTTACCTCATGAGGAGTTGGAATAGGTCCGGGAGTTGGTCCTGGTGGTATGTAAGTAGGTCGTTGCGGAGGCGGCGTTGGCCTCACTGGCGGAGGAGTAGGTCTTTGTGGTGGAGGCGTCGGTCTGTATGGTGGTGGCGTTGGCTATAGAAAGAAATAATGTTATATAGGTGTTTGTTTGAAGACTGACCCATACTTGAAAATTGCCATTTATAAAATACAAAAATAATAATATAGGTACATGCAGTTATAACGATGCCACAATGATCTGTTAGCAATTTTTTTTTCATAGGTAAACATACATTTCTCTAATTGCTCGTTGTAAGTTGTCTGTTGTCTGTGGACTGTATATATTACATCTATTTGTTTAATAATTTCTGAGAATGCATTGTAAACCACAATTGATAGTTAGTACAGAGATTACAACAGACAAATAAACTTTTACATAAAATTATCCTCCTATTAAATCACAAGCTATACACGTTATACGAAAAAGGGGTTTAATTATTTTTTCTTGTTCGTATGGTAGGTATAATACCTAGCCATAAGATTTGTTTAGATAGAACCTCATGCTTGGCTGTCCTCTATCATAAAATATATAATTATTTTAATGCATTCCCACGGGTTTAGGAAAAAATGAGGGAACTAGTATGTAACCAATTTGGTGTTTTTATTAGTGCATTATAGTTGTGTGACATTTGAATGGCAACGGTAAGTAGCGGCAAGGCTGGTGCATTGTTTCATTGACAATGTGATATTATTTAGAAGGGTCCCACTACACTCTGACCTCACGGGTAATGAGGTGAAACAGAGGTTTTGATTCATGTGTGGCGTGGGCGCTGCTAAATGTTACTCTATAGTATAAATGTCTATAGTCTAAGGATTTTTATTTTCTGCGTAAAGTTACATGCATTATGTTACTATAATTATAAATATATAGTCTATAGTATAAATGTCTAGTCTGTGGATTTTTATTTAACCTAAACTTACATGATTTGCCAATGTAGTTAGGTTAAATAAAATCCAATTAAAATAAGGAAATATTAAATTAAGAGAAGGTTGACAATTTTGTCGAACATATACATGTGCACTAAACATTATTTTGTTATAGTTATTAGTTACAAACAGACGCAAAATATTTTTGCAAATGGTGGCTTGACGGGCCGTTAGTGTCATGGTAGCTAGGTATCAACGGATAATGGGTTCGGGTAACGGGTCTAGCATATTACTAATCAATTTGTAATTTTCCAAAAAATACTGGTCTTCGTCTGGAAATCTGGATGTTAGATGTGTGGTAATAATATCGAAACTCCTCCCACAGGTGAAAAAATCGTTAAGTTCAATCGTTTTAATTTTAGTCTAAAAAGGTTGACAGTGCATCTTGTTTACATATTATAATTATGGTTGTCTATACTCCTTTTTAAAAGGAATTGTAGAAGTTATGAATCATGTTAGTAATTAATCGAAGTGATTGTTTATTTTTGAAGTAGAGTTTTGACTGTAATGAGTAATATCTCACTCTGTTGGTGGTGAAAGGTATTTCTGGTCGTGGGTAGTTGTATCCCTTGGTCGGTGGGAGGTACTCGTTACCCGCTGACGTCACAACGGTGTAAAGTGATGACGCGATGATACAGAAGACCAACATCTGGAAAGGAAAGAGATTTTATTATTTTCACGTTTATTTATTTTAGACAAAACAAATTCATAAACACAAAATTAAATGAATTTGTCATAAATTTTACTTGTTTTAGGAACTTTAAACACCTATTACACACACCAATTTATTTTAATGTAACACTTTAACGGTTTAAACCGCGAAATGTACTAATTAAATAATTTAGAACTTATTTTGACTACAGCCCGACGTGTCGTCGTATATAATTTAAGTAATAGATATTGCGTTAAAAGTGTATTGTTCAAATGTGTATTACCGAGTACAGATATGGCTTAACACTTCAATGTAGTTTTAAAGTAACTAATGACTTCTAATGACATAGTGACGTAACGCGTTACGGCACTAGTTAGTGGTAGTGGTAGCGGGAGCAGTAGACAAGTAGTTTCTCACCATGGTAAAATATTTCTATTCTATTGTATTATTTTGTAGTAATAGAACTTAAACGAAACGACAAGTTTTAATTTCGGCTAAGTAGTTCAAACCATGTAACATTTGTCAGAAGCCCATCCTAAACAAGGCCGCGAAGTGTGACGCTTTACCTGCTAACTGCATACCATAGCTAATAAACGAGTTGTGTGAGTGTACCGTCCTTGCACTATCGATCTCTATGCATTGTTCTATCGAATGCATTCCTCTCTGGACGGTCAGCAAAACAGCTCTTAATTTTTAATAAAATATATCCACTTAAACTACAGCCAATTGTTTTATTAAAAAACCATATATGTACACTTTGTTCTTTACATAAACTATAGCTTTTGACAACCAAGGTGTTCAATAATCAACAAGCTAAACGGACACAGAAGTGTGTTCGCCGTATATACATTAAATTTCCTCAAAAGAAACGGGACTTTACTTATATAATTAAATTTGCTATTGAGATGTAATGTTTAAGGAATGGTAAAGTTTTGATTCACAAACGAAACCTTTTTTGCTGACGATACTGGTCATAGAGTATTGTATGCAGATGTCTTGCGTTTGACCGTCTTTAAGACTACAAATAGTAAAAAGCCATTGTTTAACGTTTTAAAAACTATAAAAGTTGAATATTTTTGCAAACGGTTTGTATCGGAATACGTTTCGGAATTTTGGAATTAGGGATATGTTGATTTTATGACGGAGGAGATAAAACAACTAAAGAGAGGTTTGAAAACTTTAATATTTTTCACATGTCATAACATAAGATGGCATAATATTCAAATTCTATTTTAACTGTAAAAAACAACTTTGATAATAATGGTCTCTGGTAAAATACCGCAGCCCTGTTTTCTAGCCCTATTCCAAATGTGGAAGGAATTCTTCTGCCACCCAAATTATTTATATAACCTGAATAAAAAACTTTTAACGGTTTAAAACGCGAAAAACACCCTCCATCTTTAGTCTCTCTGTGTCACGTCACGTGTAAAAAGGTACTGAGTCTCGCGAAAACATTTTACTGCAGTGTTATTTGAAATAAAATACAGACAGTTAATAATGTAAACCTAAAAATATGTTAAATTCATACAAATTATAGTGCTCTCGGTGTTCTTTTTTTTTTCAATAACAATTTTTGGTTAACGAGAAACAAAGCCTTACTTTTATAAATGTAATGAATTTGAGTCGATAATTCTCGGTATTGCTAAGAATGTATAAGGCTCACAAATTATTTAAAGTAATATGTAAATCAATGAATATTATGAAGTTTAAAGCTATTATCGTAAAACTTTACCGATTATAGAACTTTATAGCTTTGAAGCAGCGCTTGCCAAACCGTCTCAACTAAGAAATGAGACTTATTGATGAAATATATTTGAATACGACATAACAAACTATATAATAAGATCCATAACGTATCTTGTGGATGGTACAAATAACAAAGTATAACATTTCGACCCAATTATATCATAAAGTTTACTCAACTAAAAGTTTGTAATATGCCACGTCCATAATCATAAGGACGTTTTTAAGTGTTAATTTTCAAATTTTAAAAATTGGCTGTTTCAACGATTACCTGTGTCGATCGTTTAATCGGCGGTTTATGAGTATTTGCTCTATAAACCCTAAAAAATCGAATACTTTGGCAACCGCTGGCAAAAAGTTGTGCATTATCATATGTAATTTGTTAAATTGGTAAGTAAATGTTAAATACATTTTAATACGTAAACCTTTGTATCTAATTAGCCAAAAATTAATTACGGGTTTCGCTTTAACCTTTTCTGGAAGAGCTTCCATTCTCTTAACTTTTAAGTATTAATCGTACTGTAAAGCAATTTATTAAAAAAAACCCCTAAATTTATTAATACTATTCGTTTAAGATTAAACTCTTTTATTCTGGCTGCTATAAAATAATAATCTATTGTCTTAAAAAAATAGAATTTAAATTATTTGACTCTATATAGTCTATTGGCAAATTTACCGGAAGTCAGTAGATTAACAAAGTAATTTAAAAATAATATTTCGTATGGTATCTATGAATCAAATTGACAACTTACGTAACTCAAGTCTATAGTCTGTGGAATATGTGGAAATAACTTATTACTTTATGCTAGTCAAATCATATTTGTCGATCAGTCTGATAATTCTCGAACAATAATACGTACCAATTTCGTCAGTTTTAATGTGGGAATCTTATTCATAACTGTAATTTATGAGTGAGAATTCGACCATAAAATAGGATTGCACGACTTGTACATGTTCATCCTTATTATGTGCACAGATAACGTAATAAAAAAAACATAGACAAGCGGAAATCTACCAATAGACCAGCTAGATTTTGTCTGTGATCATTGATATTCCTTAATCATTTTTGATATGCATATCTAGCAAAATGTAATTTCAAAAACACTGTACGCTCCTGGAATTGGGTTCGAATCTGAGGTATAAATTGTATTCAATCTTAAATTTGTTTCAAGTGTATAATGTAAGGACGATGTTTCTATAATTCACCGCTCACCTAGGATCTACTTTCATTTGGTAAAATGTCATTAGCTGGCAACCCAGTCACGATATTGCCAGAACCATGCAATTTTTAGGGTGTGTCTAAACACGAAACATCAGCTGAAACTATTAAAACTTAATTTGAACGTGATGATGATTTTTGTAGCGGACGTGACATTAAAATAACAATTTTAACGTTTGTTTATCATTAGCTAGGTTATGTGCTGTTTCCTAAAGATTTAAGGTTTCAATAAATTTTAATTATAATCTACATTGTAAATAATGATGTATACAAAGAATTATAATGACTGTTTCACTTTTTTAAATGAATTAAATACGTCACACGACTGTTCTGAACACCAGCGCTGCCGACTGTGATAAGCCTTCAGAAAGACAGCTCAGACTGTTACCAACTGCCCTTATCTAATTACAGGTACATACATTGTAAAACTGTGTCAATGAGACAAAAAGTTTTGACGCCATAAAAACTTTTCCCTTTGCGCTCGACGTTCAAATACGCCGCGGCAGTATCCAAGCGATTAGAATTGTATATAAGGAATAGATTTTCACGGGCTAATGATCAATGGGTAGTTTTGATCCCCACCAGGTCCAACATGTTTCTAATTTTTAATTTTTCTTAAACGTGCTGGACTTCGTCTAGAAATTAAATAGGTGATAGGAATATAGAAATTCCGTATCACGAACCACCGTCCACAGATGGAAAAACCGTGAAGCTTAATCGCGTTTCGGTTTCAGTCTGTGGATTTCCAAATATCCTATGACAAAATAGGTCGACAGCATATATATATAGTCGTTTAGATGCTATAAGTTGGGGTATATCACCTACCACCAAGTGAACCTCAAGGCATGTCTGTCCATGTCAATCATTTAAAAAAAGAAAGGTGGTCTAGGAATTACCTCCTTGGCATCTAGTTAGGTCTTAACATTAGTGTTAACTAAATGTTCTGACATCGTAATCAAAATTAATTGCAAAAGTTAAAATTTAAATTCGCCTTCAAAACTTGTTACGCAAATTCCTTACTCTAATTACCAAGTCTGCAATGATTCGCTCTGACAACTTAATTAGTGTGTTTAAAAATTGTTTCTAATTTATTACGATAAGTTTTAAAAGTTCATTGTCGCTAAATTCTAAAATTGAGAGAGCTTTTAAAACTTATTTCTAAGTATTAACTTAGTTATTAATGTATTCGTAACATATAATATTATACTTGTTGTTCTTTTTGTTTAACGATATATATTATTAGGTAAGTCTTCAGAACACGTATGGGCACTGCTATAGTCAAAAATTACTTACTTTTAAAAATCTGTTTAATTTGGCTTTTAAGGTAATAATTGTAGTGTTTCGCGTGGTATCCTCAAGGTGTTGTCACGGGAGACAAAACAACACAACAAATCGCTTTTAAAATAAAATGCAGTTACACGTGGGTTGACAATTTCCTGGAATTGCAGATTTAGGTTCAGTTTATTTAGTTTGGTCTTGCTTAGCGTACCTATTTCCGCGAAGTTTCGCGCCAAATTGTTTTTGACATATAAAATGGCGTGTTGGCACGATAGCCTTTGATAGACCATAATTAAATAGCTATTACTTTTGATGTAACCCAACATTCACACGTTAATCTATTTAGAAATCAGTGCGTTGTGACCTTTTAATATTTTTAAATGATATAATAAACTTGTGGGAATCTGCACGGCCATTAATTTATACCGTCGGAATTGCTTGCCTGTGTTTACAATGATAAAATATTCTTGTAATTTATAATCTGTGTTATTTAGTATAAATAAAACTTGTAAATGGCATTAAATCCTCTGTGGAGATATTTAAAAAAGGAATTTATTAAATTTTATAAATAAAAATCTAGATTTATCTAAACTAATACTACTATTTTCGGTATCGAATCCTTCCTTTGGAACATACATTTTTACCGTCATTCATTCATCATAAGAATTTGCACCGTTAAATATAATCAGAGATAATAAAAATTATTAATGTTAGTATTAAATTATTCATTACTTTTTCACTTTTAACTAAGGCTTGACGTTTCAGATGCTTTACAACAGTAATAAATATGTTTTGCGTTTTCAAACCATTTAACGTGTTGTATTGTATGTTTGTCTCAAAATCAATGTATTTCTAATTGTTACTTATTTATAAAAATAAAAATCCTGTTTTATTAATACAATTACTACACATAAATCTAAAATACTTAACAGGCTTCTAAGCTGTATTTATAAATAATATCATAATAATTATTACTGGTGCAAAAAGACAAGATGACTGGGTCGGGTCAAGGTATGACTTTGAACTCTACATTTAGATTTATCTAATGTATTTATGATACGTTATATAATAAGACCACTTTAAAATACTGCACGGTACATACGATCGTGTTTATTGCAGGCTTGAATAGAATAGGGTCCTCTCGCTTATTTAGAGCAAAAATAAAACCTACTACTACACT